AATCTTTATTTGGAACTGGGTAACGCCGCAACGTCGCCAGCAGAAACCTGGTACTTTGATGTTGATGGTCTATGATAAAGCTTATTCAACATATATCAAGTTCTCTCAATCGCATTATTCCATGTGGTGTACAGCTAATATTAGGGATTTCTTTCAGTCACTTGGTTAATGACATCAAAAACTACAAAATACGTGAGCATAAGTAAAAGCAAAAACAAAAAATTACCATGAATTCTAGCTCTATATCTTATGGTCATTTTCTGAAAATTGCAACCCATTGCGAGTAGTCGTTTTGACAACACGGGAAAATAAAAATTGAAACATTTGAAAATCCTGGCAAGCGCCGTGAACGCGAGCGTCACCTCCAAATTTAACCCGGTGTTCTAAATCCAGAGAAGTTTGCTGCGTTTTCCCACAGAAATCAAGTAGGGGATGACAGCTATAGAATCGGCCGAAAATTGGCGAAACGGCAATAAAAACAAAAGTTTAACGGCAATTTTCGTATCGACTTACAACTTTCTGGCATATCTATCACTCATAATTTGAAAAAATATATATTTTAATAGACAAAAATCGAGGTTTTGTGAGTGTGACATCAATTTAAAGAGTGCGACAAGCCCATTTTAAAAGTGGTACCTCCAACCCGGTACTTTGTTTACATGGACTCCATTTTCATGTACGAAGAGAATGTTTCACTCCTTCACTTTTATATACGGCAAAATATTTTGTTTTTAAAATGCAGCGTAAATGCAAAGTAAAACGAATTGTACATGTTAGAGCATTCACAGCTGTTGAATTGATATGATTCATTGGTTATTTTGGCATAAAAATGGATCGATCAGGCACAGAGATTTCAAATTCTCCGGGCAGCTCCCAGTTATGTTTTCCATGTATACTTCATTTCTAAGTTGCTAAAAAACAAGCTGTATATTATGCTATAATGTAATATCTTAGATTTGTTTATTCGTGTCAATGCTTTTTGTTTCATAAGTATTATTATAGCGTAAAAATAAGCAAAGCTTGGTAGAACGCATAGCCGGTCGATGAGAGCGTTTTCAATGCATTTGTATT